TCCGCCGAAGTCCGTTCCTACTGTTTCCCTTCACAGAAGCTTTTTATTTAAGCACTCCGCCTTTCTTGCCAGGTTCTGGAACAATTGCATGAGGCTCCCATGCAAGAGCCTCCAGAGCCTGGTAAGCAAGGGTCCCCCACTCCCTTTCTGTTCGTTTATTTATTTAATTAATTAATGGTGGTCCGTATAAATCTGCAGTCAAGTAAGCAAAGACAGTGTACATTGTGATTGCCCTGTAGCTCCCCCATTCTTTATTATCATGCTGTGTGCTTGACATAGATTGGAAGCATCACAAATATGAATAAACATGTCTGTACAGCATAGTAAGGTCTCTGATGTTGCAGTTATAATCACAGCGTGTAATTCTGGCCTGGAAAATTAATAATACATTTTCTGTATTTACTTGTGTTGTTTTGACTCAGGCTATGAAAGATGTACATCATCTGCTCCATACGCTGTAAATGCAAGTTTACTTGTCATTCTAGCCTCCCTGACTTTTAAATGTCACAGACTCCATTGCTTTCCTACTAATTCCAAGTCTGCTGATGAGGATCAATGATCAGCATGTTAAACATGCAGCAGGGTACTGCCTGGTTATCAAGAGGGTAATGATGAACAATCTAGCTGTTAATGCTCACATTACAACTGTCAGCTTTCATTTTCAAAATAGGCTTATACATCAAGCACTGAATTATGTTAACCATTGTGCTAATGATGTATATGAACTTGACAAAGAAAAGAAGATGAGCATTAATTGCAAGAAATTATTGGTTTGCACAATTCTAAAAAATGCTTAGTAGTCAAAGCATGCCCCTTGGCTGTGCTGGTGGTTCTAAGGATTTCACAAACCATTCCTGGATACCAGAGGCTTAGGTGGAATCTACACATATATAAAAGATGCTGTGAAAATGCTTTTTAAAAAAAGTTTTGAAAAATATATTGAATTTCCCATAGCTCACTGTCTCCATCTAGTGTCATATTTGTATATTGCACTTTACAACACACTTAAAATGTTTTATTTGCAGCTGTATAGCTTATTTGGGAGAATATTTTCTCCTTATTTGGGAGAATATTTTCTTCATGCAGAATAAACTTAAGGGTGCTGCAGAAAATAACAAGTTGTGCAACGGAGTAACTTCGCAGGGCAGTGGTGCCCTTTGTATTGATCTTAACCCGCTCACCCCTATTAGCTTCTCAGTCCATCCATCACCAGCACTTTGATATTGGGTTGATCAGTTTTATCAGGAGGAATTTGAGATCTATAAGGAGCAAAATATCTAGGATTACGTCTGGTATTTTTTAAGTTACATATTCTTTGTGGAATGTCATATATGCATGCCTTTGCGCAATGTCTTACATCCTGGCAGAGTTTTGAAACAGCAGGCTACTTCATTCTCTTATATGGAGATAAGGACAATGTTATAAGTTGCAATGTCTTTGGTACTAACATAAAAATTGCTAATGTGTTTATTTCCCCTCCTTCAAAAAATCCTCCCCCCTCCTTTCTGAGTCTGTGAAGTTTCTGTGCCTCACCAAATTATGGGATCAACAACCATGTTCATAATTCTGAACTATATGAGTTGTTTATCTCCTTTTCTTTGAAGCACAGTTATTCTACTTCTTGTATTACTGAAGTGTTTCTCCATCTTAAAATGTAATGTAGGGAAGACTTGTGTGTCTGCTTTTGAGCCAGAATGCAAAGGTCCTAACATGTTTTAGCGTGCTGTTGTTTCTTAGAACTAGACATGTCAACCTTTCCTGGGGCTTTTAGTATTTATCAGGAGCTTTTGCTGGAGTGACTAAGTGCAATATGAAACATATTTACTCTGAGGTAAATCCTAGTGAGTTTAATAGGACTTATCGCAAGTAGCAAGCGATGGGATGGATGCTTAGGATGGAACTGTTTAAAACGTAATGCATAAATTGCCCTCATCTTGCCAAACCTGGTGTATGTAGAACTTAGGTCCATTTTATTATATCATGTTGAACAGATGCTTAATGTGCACATACGTGAAGTGGCTTTAATGGATTGTAATTGCTTTAAATAAATAGTTTCAGGGCTTCAGTCATGAGAAAAAATAATGAAAGAAAACCATGTTTGAATACGAGAGTATGGCTTTGTTTTCTACTTTCAGGTTGATTGGCTTTTTATTTTAGTTCTCAATTATGATTTTGAGAGAAAATTGTGCTAAAGGTTTTGTGTCAAATACCTAGTTAGGTTGACTTTACAGCTTCCTTGCCTTGGAAGTTGCTAATTTCATAACCATGTAAACTGCATTTCGGTAATACACATTTTCTGTTTTTCTTCTGGAACTGGTAAAATGAAATGTTGCTGTTGTAAGTGTGAAATTATAAATTGCTTTACTAACATTGGTGGAGTTGTATAACTTGGACACTGGTTGTCTTGTTGGATACCTGGATTCCTTTGTTAGAAGCAATCTCTGAGTTTAGGATAAATGTAGCTTTGTTTCTATATCTGAGGGACCTATTGATTTGCTGCTTAACAAGTCCCTTTGCTGTCCCTCAAGAATGGAGAAGGTTCAGTTTCTTCCATGTTGATTATGGCATCTCTGTAGGCCAAATATTTGGATTTGTGATTCCATACAGCTGTAACAATGGCTGCCTACAAGCTATGGTTTGCAGATTTTGAGCTTCTTCCCCCCACATCAGCTGGGTTCAGAACGTAACTCCCATGTAAATGGGGAGTTGTCTGTATACCAGGGAGCCAAGCAGACTACATGAAGTGGGAAAGGGTGTTCAGCGGCAATTGTGTCAACAGTCCAAACCATTCAAATGTTCCAGAGGTTCGCCAGGGCGTTTAACAGGAGCACTAGTCATATCAGCTGGAAAATCCCTCAGAGCCACCTGGAAACCTCTTGGACCCGTGTGAGGTCTCCGTGTGAACTAGAGCTCTCTCTGTGCATGGTTCTAATCCTTGTAGAAGCGACCCAAAGTCAGGATGAGGTCAGCCTTTCAATGCTGACTTCATCCTGACTTTACTGTAATGCATGAAAATCAGTTATAAATTCAGTTCAGCCTCAGTTTGTTGGTTGCCACTAGCATGTAGTACAGTAATTGCATCCTGATGAGCAGGACTGTTGAATTCATAAATGGAACGCGGTACCACATGGACTGCGTACACAACCGCATCTCTCCCTTATATCTTAAAGATCCATTTGTGACACAACCCTGGAGTGAGAGGAGCCCTTGTACAGTGGCTGTCATTTTCTTTGGGCCTCTGAGCTTGCAGAGTCCAAGACAAACTGCAACTAGTCCCTGCACAGGGCTCTGTATGTGGGAAGAGGTGTGCAGAGTACTATTTGTTGCTATTGCTTGCTGTAGGCGCAGAAGACCCTGTGATCTCTCATGAGCACTGGTAGCACAGAGAAGTAAAAACTGTAAGAGAAGGAGGGATAAGGGAGCAAGCACTGGCAAGGGCAGACAACTGGCTCCTTAGTCTCTGTTCACAAGGATGTTCTGGACGGTTGCCTTTGTTAAACATGTAGCAAAGTGCTGAGCAATAAAAATGTTCATAGTAGCCGTCACTGACAGTGCTTCCCTGTTGTACAGGCAGTGCTACACTTGAAGGCAGAGCCTACGAGACCTTCCTTTTGCTGCCTGACAAAAGATGCTATGTACTCTGTTCAGTCCGACTCCCTTGTGTTTATTTCTGTTGGCTCTGCTGCATACAGTATTGTTGCTTTCCTTTTGTTCTTGCATTTCTGTGCTTTTTGTAAAAGGAATAGCAAGTCTTCCCGTGAAGCCAAAGTAAAAGGGACATAATCTTAACGACTCTGAGCTTCTACCAGTCATTTAAGCACCATGAACCCTAGTCATTGGTGATTAAAATAACATTTTCATAGCTTTCTGTTTGATGGTGTGGTGTTCATTTCAAAACAACTCAGGCATTCTGAGGCAAAGTGAAGAAAAACCCTACAGAATTGGGTTTTAAAAGAGCTTCTCTATTCAGCTTACGTTCTGTTTATTCTTAAAAGGTTCTGCCATTGAAGTGATGCCGGAAACTAGACAGTTCACCTATCAATTTGCACAAGAAAATATCAAGAGTAAATTTTATTTTAGCAAGTTACTTTTCAACCATTTCTAGGAGAATCACCCACCTCAAATATTTTGAGTTCTATATGGGCTGATATGATTGAGGGCCATCTATGAAGATGGAAGTATGTTATGTTGTAGAAAATGGAGGTTTTTGATTTTAAGAAATGTCACATCCTATTATAGAGAAATGGCATAGCAGAAACCAGTCCCAACTTGGTTGCATTCATTTCAGGGTGCTTTTTTTATTCCTGGAGAAACAAGAAATAAATGTGTTGTAGCATAAGACCTTCTGCTTGCAAAACATGTGATTTATCATTGAGTTGCGATCCATTTCACATGCATACTTGAGTGACAAATGGCCATCAGTTGAGATTTTTAAAATGTGAGATACTTCATGGTCACATACTCAAAAAAAATTCCCCTTGTACTTTGCACACCAAAATGTAGCCTTAGGCAAATTAATAATAAAACACACTTCTTCCACTTTGTAGGGACTGAAGGCTAAAGAAAGAAATATTTTAAAAACTACACATGATGCACGATGTGACTAAACAGCATATATAGTCTAATGATGTCGTGGTTCATGTTGAGAAAAAAAATCATATTTAATTAGCTGTGGAACATTTGTATTAATGCCTTCAGTTTCTAAAACTATTTGGAGATCTGATCTGAGGATTAGTGGTTTCATACAGTTCTAACAATGGTTGCCTGCAACCTATGGTTTGCAAATTTGGAGCCAGCCACAGAATGTGTGCTCCCTCCTTTCTCTTTTCACCTTCAACCATGGCTTGGTATTATATCTTCACTGATGCTAACCATAGTTGATGGTAACGAGGGCCCCCATTCTTATTCACAGTTAAATTCAACATTTCACAGAACTGTAGAGTTCGAAGGGACTGTAAGGATCATCTAGTCCAACCCTGTGCTATGCAAGAATGTGCAGCTGTCCCGTATGGGGATCGAACCTGCAATCTTGGTGTTATCAGTACCATGCTCTAACCAACTGAGCTTTCATAGAAACCCTGACTTGACAAAACACTGAGTGAAACAATGTTTTAAACCAATGAATTTTATGTAATCGAATGAGACGTTTCAAATAATGCTCACTATCATTTGTACTGAATTTAAATGCCCTCCAGAAGAACTAAATAATAATAATAATAATAATAATAATAATAATAATAATAATATGCTGGACATCTGACTGGGCTGCACCAGCCAATCTGGGCGGCTTCCAGCAAATTATAAAACCACAAATTCTATTATTCTTTCATTTCCTTTGTATAATCTTATATGACACATGCAGTTGTAACAGCAGAAAACAACTTTTCTGACACATTCTGCAAAGCATATAATGTGGCATTTGAAACACGGACAGTGCCATAGTTTTAGGGTAAAAAAACTTTCAGCTTTTAGGAATATTTTAGATTAATCTGTTGGTGTACTGTACTACTTCACACAATTCGGCATCCCTACTGATAAAAGTAAGACGGTCTGCTTTCTGTTCTCAGCCATCAAATGGAGAGAAGAAGGCGGGGAGGGCTGGAAATGTGATGTCATTGGTAGTAGGGGATTGGTTAATATGGCTGTCACTCCCCGCAGATTGTGAGAAGCTCTCATTTGCTGACAAGGGGGTCGTGTGTTAGGAGGGGAATGAAGCAATCTCTTCACTGTTAGGGCTGATCTCAGTGAGTAAACAAGCTGGGAAATAGTGCAGCTGTGCTCTTTAAATATGCACTGCAGGAGATTTCAGCAAGCTGATGATATATCACGCATTAATGTTGAAAAGATAAACACATTTTGAGAGTGCAGGAAGGGCCTTGTGTTTTTATGTTGGCAGAATGCTTCCTAATGAATAAGAATGTGCTGCTGGCTCACAAAGCCATATGGCAGCTTTTCTAATTTTAGTTCAGTGCAGATGCATAATTCTCCCTTGTTTTACCTCCTAAAACCTTTCTGTGGTGATATGAATGTTTTCCTGTAATATCTTGGTTTTTAGCAGTAAATGTGCCTGTTGCTCTAATGTATCCTCCGCTCTGTTGTAAAATGCAGCCTGAACTTGATATTTTCTCTCTTACTTTTCTGAATAAAATGCAAACATGGCTACGGATGGCACAGCCTTCCTGCTGAGCCTTAAAATTGGAATGCTAGTTAATTTTATATATTCTTTTGAAAAACTGGTGAAATCTTGCAAGAGTAACTGACAGTTTCCTGCTGACTGAAATAGTGAAATGTGATTACAGTCCATGAGAGCTTCACAGATTTCAGAGTCTGGGCTTTGAATAATAAAACTAAAAGAACCTTCCCAAAAGTTAACAAAGGGTAGGAGCAACTTTTAAACACTTCACTACACTGGTCCAGCATATGGCATGTTTATAGCTTGCTATCTTTCTGAAAGTCCTGTTTTATTGCCAGAACACTGGTTTGTTAAAATGCTTGCAAATTTGAAACTATGCTGTTTCGGGTGCCATTTTGGTTTTTTTCAGCTGGTACTGTGACTACTTAAGAATATGTAATGTTACAAAACTGACGCCTGTCTAAAGTAAATTTCAAGTAATTCCAGGAACTGTTTCTGCTAAAATCCCCAACATTACATATTTTAAATTATCTGTGCCTCTTATTTTTCCTTGCTTTACGGTTCCAATACTGCTTTAGGCTACCCATGCAAACTAGGTATAGATTTAACAGATTTGCCATGGATGCCAATATCACTGTAATTGCCCCTGCTTTATCCTTCCACCCAGGCCAGGGGTCTGCAACCTTTAAGACAAAAAGAGCCACTTGGACCCGTTTCCGAAGAAAAAAAACCTGGGAGCCGCAAAACTCGTCATTATAAAAATAACTTTTTTGTCACTTTTTAAAAATTATTTCTTTGTTTGACCCCTCAGAATTACTCGTCCTCATAGAAATAAACGTTAAATTAACAATTTACCTTTTTGTGTGTGTGTGTTCTTCACTCCCCTTCAAAACAGTGACCAGCGTACATGCCCCCTTTCAATTCCGTGACCAGCGTACATGCCCCTTACAATGTAGCGGGCGGGCGGGAAGGTGACGTCGGGACAGTGCGTGACTAACGCACACACCGCCCCCATGTGACGTCACAGCCAGTACAGCGCCCGCCACAGTGGGGAGTGTCAGGGCGCACAATGCGCCTCCTCCCCTCGCTAGTATCCGCCCCGGAGCCGCGGCAAAGGTGTAAAAGAGCCACATGTGGCTCCGGAGCCGCGGGTTGCAGACCCCTGACCCAGGCTAAAAGCAGAGTTACTGGGTATATACAATAACAGGCGTAAAACTAAATAGATTTGTGCCTACTTTTTTTATTTAACTCTGATGTCTTCCAGTCATATCATCATTTTTAATTTGTATACCGCCTTTCTATCTTACAATACTCAAGACTGTTTACAAGCTGAAGAAACAAAAAATGTGCATCTTATAACAATCTAATGCAATACAAAAATGTGATAATAAAACATAACTTTAAAATAGGCAACCTCCATCAAAAAAGTAACATTCAGCAATCATTAGAATAGTACAAAATAATAATATCAACATATAAAAGTTAAACAGAAATCCACTCAACAGTTACAATAATATCTAAACTATAATCAATAAAACAATAGCAAGCCACAGTACGTAAAACAATACAATACACACTGAGAAGCAGAGGGTGGGGCAAGGCAGGTGGAAGGAGGCCTTGCCTGGTGGAGTCTCTCCCCTCACTTCCTCCACCAGGCACAGCTCCCTTATGAGGACTCCTAGGGCCAATATTATTTCTTTGCTGTCTTGCATTCATTAAAAATAGCCTACGAAGTAGCAGGATGCTTTTGTAGTTGAGTCAGTGGCGTCGGGGCGGGGGTGGGTGGGCGGTGCACCCCGAGTGCCGTGTCTGGGGGGGGTGACAAGAAGGCAAGGATCCCGGTGCCGGTGGCAAACCACTATGTACAGCACATGTGCAGCGTTGCACGCATGCACTGTATGTAACACCGCTGCATATGCGCTGTACATAGCGGTTTGCTGCCAGCACCGCTCGAGCACCGTATGGACAGTGGTGGGATCCCTCCGTCGCCGCTACAGCAGCGAACGGAGGATCCTCTGGATCCCAGCACTCTCTGTACATCGCTGGAGCACCGCTGCCAGCAAACTGCTATGTACGGTATATGTGCGGCATTGCTACGTACAGCACATGCGCTGTACATAGTGACTCCGCACATGTGCCGTACATAGCAGTTTGCTGCCCTGGGTGTCACAATGCCTTCGTTCTCCCCTGAGTTGAGTTTCTGATTAAATTAGTGGCATACTGGAGAAACGGTGAACATCTTTCTCTTCCACCTTCACTGGTAGGCCTGATGTTTTTGTTCCGTCCACGCTATAGAAATTGCTGGATATTCTGTGGTGCAGTAACAAAGGATTGTGCTATATGCTGTTCTGCTCTCTTGGATGTAGGTTTTCATAATTCAAACATAATATACTTAGTGAAATATACTAAAGGTATATTGTGTGGTATAGCATAGTTTCATAATGAACATTTCATTTCCTCAGCAACAGTTGTTATACAAGTGTGAGCTGAGCTACATATGTGATTCAGTAATTATCATCAGTGTGGGACTTCTGGTTGTCCACAGATGTAGGAAGTGTAAAACAGTCTTAATAAGCTTTGATTTGTCAGTTATTCTTAAAATGGTGCGTGGGATCTCACATCTATTTTAAGCAGCTGTAGTTTGCTTTTCATAGAAAGAACTTGTTTTTAAACTCCTTTATTTAGGTCTTATCAAAATAGCAATAAAAACAGCCTTTTAGAATTTCAGTATTACAAGATGTTTTAGGATTTACCACTTCATCTTGTTCTGTTCACTTAAATCAAAATAGCAAATATAGAATTTATGCATCCCAGCCAACTTCCCATGAGATTTCTGCATGGGATGGATTTGCTTCTTTTGAAGTCATTTCTCCTGGGTCTGGTAAAATCAGGCTGAGAGGGGATGGCTGTTCAGGCCAGTAAGACCACTCTTTCAGAAATCCTTTCTGGTCTCAGAAGATCTGAGCAGCTATAGGTGAGTTTCTATTGTTCCTTGCCTGGGCATATCACCTTCTCACATATGAACCTTTCCTTCTCAGTTAGTTTCTTCAACTGTCAAGGCTCCTGTGAATGGCTAAAGCAGAATATTGTCTTTTTGGTGGTGATACAAAGCAGTGGAAAATTCTCCCTGGGGAGTTTCATTCTGTTGCCTTGCTTCTGAATTTTGGACTATTTCTTAAAGTGGTTCTCTTTTCTACTCATCGGGTATTTTATCATTGCTTTAATGAGTTATTTGATTTTTAGCAGTAAACTAATAATATACCTGGTAGACGCTGGGCCAAAAAACTAATATTTTAAGAAAGATACACCAGTCTTTCATCTAGCAAATTACAAGTATTAATGTATTCAATAGACTACAATTCAGATCTCTCTTCAGAATTTCATTTAAAATGTAATGGTTCAGCAACTATGCTCCATGGCGAATCATAAATAAATGACAATGTTTGCTTGCAAGAATGTTGGCTTTAAACATGAGCAATGTCTATTTTTTTCAGTACTGTTATTGTAGGAAAGATGTACAAAGATAGTAATTGCAGTTGTATGTTGGTTGGTTGACATCTGTCCTGGGAGGTAATGGAAGAGTGCGCCCACCTTCAAGGTGAATTCAAACCATTGGAAAGTTACAGTGCCTGCTGTGCCTGTAGAGACTGATATTGGAGAGACCAGTTTTGTTGCAGCTGGGGCAGATGAAGGCGTCTGGTTGTGCTGATGCAAGCGTACCATGGCATTAAAGAAGGATGTGTACACAAAATGGAAAAGGGGGGAAACCACCAAAGAGGAATTCAAACAAATAGCCAGCACGTGTAGACACAGAGTCAGAAAAGCTAAAGCACAGAATGAACTCAGGCTTGCTAGAGAGGTTAAAAGCAACAAAAAAGGCTTTTATGGGTATGTTCGTAGCAAAAGGAAGAACAAAGAAACAGTGGAGTCACTCAGAGGAGAAG